CTGTAGTTGGCACATAGCCCTCAGATATCTGTAGTTGGCACATAGCCTTAAGATATCTGTAGTTGGCACATAGCCCTAAGATATCTGTAGTTGGCACATAGCCCTAAGATATCTGTAGTTGGCACATAGCCCTAAGATATCTTTAGTTGGCACATAGCCCTAAGATATCTGTAGTTGGCACATAGCCCTATGATATCTGTAGTTGGCACATGCCCTAAGATCTGAAGCGACTACAGTAAGGCAAACAGCACATTTTCATCACAATTACTCGCTGTAAGGTGAGTTATTGTAGGTTACTCACATCAAAGCTCGTTAGTTTGATATTAAGTGAGAGTATTGGGGGTTTAGAGTCACCGATATAACACATCACATACACGAGAGTCATTGGTATAACACATCACACATACATGAGTCACTGGTATAACACATCACATACACGAGAGTCACTGGTATAACACATCACACATACGAGAGTCACTGGTATAACACACCACACATACGTCAGTCACCGATATAACACATCACACATGCGTGCGTCACTGATATAACACATCACACATGCGTGCGTCACTGATATAACACATCACACATACGTGAGTCACTGGTATAACACACCTCACACACACGAGAGTCACTGATATAACTCATCACACATACAAGCTAAGATTTGATACGTCATCGACATAACACATCACACCTACCATCTAACACAGGGGTCTCCAAACTTTTCAGTCCGAGGGCCGCATTAGCAGTCAAATTTCAGTTCGGGGGCCAGTTTCTTACCGGCATGTCTTTGATTTTTCTGGGCAAAGTTGTCCCCAGCCATCACCAACGAACGTTTTTTCCGTGGACAAAAAGATCTCCGCGGGCCGGATGAGAGGACTTCGCGGGCCGCATCTGGCCCGCGGGCCGTAGTTTGGAGACCCCTGATCTAACACATCGAAAACCACCAGTTTCTGTGACTGTTGTTGAAAATTTACCTCCCTTCTATCCAAGTTTTCAAACCTTGTTACATAAGCTCACTGTGTTGAATATTTGTTACATAGAGGGGTAAACAAATGTCTTAAAATAAAAACAGCTTTAGGTAAACCTTTGTGTACACAGTGGAAAATTGAAAACATTTATTAAAATGGATGGGTTCGCGTGCAAGGAGAGAAATTGAAAGAATAATTGCGCAGATGAACTCTCGTCCCGGCGATATTTTTTACCCTAACTGTAAATTAAAAGCCGTATCAATCATCATATTTCATAAACTCACACGCGGAATGTCTAAAGTGGCTATTTATTTTATTGTTACCATTTTTTAACCGTAGAAAAAAAAGAGAAACAGCTCTAAAAAAAAAAATGATAAATTGCTTTAGAATAGGCTAGTGCAAACATCTTTACTCCCGTATGATGAAGTTTGAAAAAAAAAATTCGTTTGACTCTGTATTGTGGTTTATGTACGTGGTGTAGGAGGGGAGATAAATAGAATGAAATACATGGCCGTAGATGACAGATTAAAGGAAGGCATTAATCATGAGTAATGTTAGAGATTGGTTAGGTGACTTGGCCAAGTTAACTGACAGAGAATGTCAGGATTTACGTCTAGAAGATGATAGGAGTTAACTAGCAGGGAATGTAAGATATCACATGTAAGAGATAAAGTGAACGCTAGAAATTACCTCTAAAAAATGTAAGAGTTAGCGGAGAATTCAAGAACTTACATCTACAGGTTTGTTTGAATGTTTTACAATGTGCAAAGCCGACGTAAAATCCTACTCTAGTGTTTTGTTTTTTCGCGATTTATTTTAACAAACCAAATTAGTCTTTAAATAATGTCTTATTTTTAGACACGCATTTTTAACCTTTAAAAGCATACAACGATTACCTTCAAAATTGAATCATTTTTTCTAAATGCCAACGGTTTTGCATCTTATAAAAAAACATGTTGTATTATATCAAGCTATTTAAAATTCGTCTTTTCAACAGTACAAAATATATGAACTAGAAAATATTACCGATCTTTTTTTTTCCTCTTCAATTTTTTTTCAATGACATTAAAAAAAAAAAAAAAAAAAAAAAAAAAAAAAAAAAAAGAACGGTAATAGGAGTGTCATTGGAATTATGTCCCTTGAGTATTGATAGCCGAAGCCATTTTTTTTTTGTCGAGTCTATAAATCTAACTGGGTTTACAGTACTTCGTGGGTTCTAGCTGGTCTTACAGTACTTAATCGAATACAGCTAACCTACAGTACTTCGTGTAAATAGCTAGGCTTGCAGTATTTCATGGGCTACAGTTTTCGGCGTGGGGGGGGGGAGGGGGGGGGATTTGGCTGCTTTTAAAATAGTTCAGTATAAAATGGAGGTTAAAACTAGTCTAAAAAAATTCCGATAGGGTCTTTAGCGTAGGTATATTCGTGATATATATATATATATATATATATATATATATATATATATATATATATATATATATATATATATATATATATATATATATAAGCCGCTAGGTAGTGTGTCATTCCGTTAGCCACTTTGATGTGGTCTTTTTCTCATCAAACAAGAATTTCTCTGATCAATTAAGAATTTCACCGCTGTCGTTAAATTTAGATACACAATACTCTGTAAATAGCGCGTTGTATAGTAAAGAAATAAAATACTTAAAAAAACTTTTTAAAAAAACACGTTTTTCTTGTGGACTAAAAAGTAGAAAATAAATTTTTCTTCCGACCCTAGGGGATCTACCAATGACTGCTCGTAGATTTTGTGCTTCCTCGAGCTTTGCAGGTTCTGTTAAAAAAACTATTTTGCTTTCAAATACACGTACATGTTCCACACTATAAAGTTCACATCGCCATACCTCAAATGACTTAGAAGATGTTCAGCGTTTATTGCTAATTATGTTGGCACTAAGTACTGATGTCAAATTGACTCAAAGTACTCAGTACACTAGTGGTTGGTCAACTTTTATCAGAAGTACGTACCGACAACTGTAACAACCACCACCACCACCCCCGGGAGCCAAGACAATATAAAACGGGTTAAGAGCGCCCGGGCAAGGGCTCAACTCCGTAAAAAGGGGGGCGTTTATTGCCGGGGACTGGCGCTGAAAGGGGCGGTTTGACGGGGTGATTTGGGGAAGGATTGTTGGGTCAGTCGGGTCCATTCTAGAACATGACGTCCAGTTTTTGATTGGGGAGGGGGAGGGGGGGGGGGGGGGAAGGGAGGACTTCCGGGGTTAAGATTGGTGTGTCACGTGGTGTCTGAGTTGTAGAGTGATTAAAGGGCAATTGTTTGGATTTTTTTTTTAGAGTGACATGTTTCGATCTATTCTAATATATACACATTCGCATACACGTGCCGACACACGAACATATTAATGCGCGCATATACATATATATATATCTATCTTTTTATATATATATATATATATATATATATATATATATATATATATATATATATATATATATATATACATATATATATATATATATATATATATATATATATACATACATATATATATATATATATATATATATATATATATATATATATATATATATATATATATATATACATATATATATATATATATATATATATATATATATATATATATATATATGTGTGTGTGTGTGCGTGCGTGTATTTATATTGTATGCTATATATGTGGAAATGTATGTAATTCGTACTATTGAAAAGAAATGTTAAATGAAAAGAAAATTTGTAACATATAAATGTATGCGGCTGTAGTTAATTAAGTTCATTCGGGTCAACTTAAAATTTTATCAGAATTTCAATAGTGCGTCACTGAACTTCCGGTATTAGAGCCTTGTCGTGGCTTGGCAGCTTGTGTATCCTGACCACCCCCAGAGCTATACCAGCGGGAGTGTAAACTCCTGGTAGGTTCAACCAAGCTGGGAAGGTCTGCGCGGGTAGGGATCAGACCAAAGCTAACACCCTGGTCCTCCAGGTTGGGGGGGTTGAAACATAAGGCTAGCAAACTTATCTCGTAAAAAAATATACCGCTATAGAAACTGCAAGTACACAAATCCAACACCGACTTGGTCAAGGGGGGTCCTCTCTAGAAGAGCCCATGATGCCTACTAGTGAAAGCCTAACGGAAGCTAGTTTGCTGTCTTGGGCACAGATTAGAGGAACAGCCCAAAACCGATTCCGCTGGAGATGTGTGGTTGCAGCCCTTTGCTCCCCAGGGGCCACAAAGGAGTGATGATGATGATGAACTGTTTCATTGAACTCGGCACATGGCGGGATAGTGTGGTCAGTTCTAAGTCCAGTAATGTACTTTACGACCTCGATGTTTAACAACATATTCAACATGTATGTAATTTATATTGATTTATCTAGACGATTCTTTGGCACTATCAGCTTTACTAGCATGTTTAACTTAATAAACTTCCTCTCATGTTTTTATCAAATTTTTTTATCATGTTTTAATCATGTTTTTATCATGTATTTGTCAAATTCTCCTTTTATTTTCCCGCGGCCAATCTGCACTCTACCATAGACCATTTATTACCGCTAATACAAAGAGATCGAACATGAAAGACTAACAGACGCATTAGCTGTCCCAGTACTACCATCAACACCCCCTCCCCCATTCTGTTTAGGACAGTTCTGGCCCATCACGTGATTCCCGTAACGCCCTGCCTGACCGAATAACGCCGTGGCTTTAAGATCTAGTAATTTAATTAATCCACGCGTAAACAAAGATGTTAAAATTTCGATGGGAAAAGAAGTTCCCACTGATGAGTTTGTTAGGCGACCGTCTAGTACTAATTGTACTCTGTCGTATGTTATTGTTTTTGTTGCTGTTGTTATTGTTGTTGCTTTTTTCTAATTTTAGATATTCATTATTTGTTTAATATGTTAGCTCATTTTGAAAAAAAAATATGCTCATTTGTTTAATGTTTTTTGTAATACGTTAACTAAATCTGCTTTAAAAAAAACAACGAACTTGACATGTTCCTTGCAAGTGCATCATGATCAAAATGGTTGGTAAAGTAAGAAACCTCACTACAGTTTTTGACAAAAATATTTCGGGCAATTGTCGAGCCTAAGGTAGGTCAAATAGTTGGATTGTCTGGCCAAAGGCTATGGTATATGGCTACAGGACATTTACCCCCTCCCCCGTCAATTACCCCCACCCCCACCCCCGGACATTGCCCCTCTTTTTTTAACCTCCCCCCCCCACACACACACACACACAAAGTACCCTTGTCAATTACCCCCCAGTAGTTCTAACCCTAACGCTAACCCTAGCTGTACCTAAAGCTGTGAGCAAGGCGGGGGGGGGGGTATGTCCTACCGGGCGGAGGGTAATTGACCGGGGTTAATTACTCCGGGGGCTAATGTCGGGGGGGTGTCCGGGGGCTAAATGCCCTGTTCCCATGTTACATGGCCGTATGTTTGGGCCATTGACATCGCGAATGCCTTAACCTTCTGTCCAGGATTAGAACCAAGGACTTTGGTGTTATCATCTACACCCCTCCCTACACTTCAAAGTGTACTATTATATTATTGTACCAAGGCAGAAAGTAAAGTAAAAACATGAAAGGTTGTTTATAGAGAAACAAATTCTAAAGATAATGATGGTGCTAAGTACTGTAGACACAAACGGATGAAAGAAGAAACTAGTCAACAAAGATAGCTGGTTTGGACATATGGGGCAGATATTGATGACGTAGTGGGCAGAAAATGGCAGACGTTGATTGACGAACCTCGTTTGGTTTACACTTCTGCTGGGGGTTTACACTTCTGCTGGGGTGAGACTTTCAAGAAATTATTTATTTAAGATGTTGTTTGTGTCTCGGAGTTCTGAGCCTCGTTGTCAGATGTGTGAGGTCACGAGGTTCGTTTAACACTAGATGGTGACCTTTGCTGCATTGGTAGCTGTTTAGTAAATCAGGGGCGTGGTCTTAGCTTTTAAAGTTGACCAGGGGCGTGGTTTTAGCTTTTACAGTTGACCAGGGACGTAGTGTTAGCTTTTACAGTTGACCAGGGACGTAGTGTTAGCTTTTACAGTTGACCAGGGACGTAGTGTTAGCTTTTACAGTTGACCAGGGACGTAGTGTTAGCTTTTAGAGTTGACCAAGGACGTAGTGTTAGCTTTTAGAGTTGACCAGGGGCGTGGTCTTAGCTTTTAGAGTTGACCAGTGACGCAGTGTTAGCTTTTAGAGTTGACCAGGGGCGTGGTCTTAGCTTTTAGAGTTGACCAGTGACGTAGTGTTAGCTTTTAGAGTTGACCAGACCGTAGTGTTAGCTTTTAGAGTTGACCAGTGACGTAGTGTTAGCTTTTAGAGTTGACCAGTGACGTAGTGTTAGCTTTTAGAGTTGACCAGTGACGTAGTGTTAGCTTTTAGAGTTGACCAGACCGTAGTGTTAGCTTTTAGAGTTGACCAGACCGTAGTGTTAGCTTTTAGAGTTGACCAGTGACGTAGTGTTAGCTTTTAGAGTTGACCAGACCGTAGTGTTAGCTTTTAGAGTTGACCAGTGACGTAGTGTTAGCTTTTAGAGTTGACCAGTGACGTAGTGTTAGCTTTTAGAGTTGACCAAGGACGTTGTGTTAGCTTTTAGAGTTGACCAGACCGTAGTGTTAGCTTTTAGAGTTGACCAGGGGCGTGGTCTTAGCTTTTAGAGTTGACCAGTGACGCAGTGTTAGCTTTTAGAGTTGACCAGGGGCGTGGTCTTAGCTTTTAGAGTTGACCAGTGACGTAGTGTTAGCTTTTAAAGTTGACCAGGGGAGTAGTGTTTAGCTTTTAGAGTTAACCAGAGACGTAGTGTTAGCTTTTAGAGTTGACCAGGGAAGTAGTGTTTAGCTTTTAGAGTTGACCAGAGACGTAGTGTTAGCTTTTAGAGTTGACCAGGGAAGTAGTGTTAGCTTTTAGAGTTGACCAGGGGCTAGTGTTAGCTTTTAGAGTTGACCAGGGATGTAGTGTTAGCTTTTAGAGTTGACCAGGGGCGTAGTGTTTAGCTTTTAGAGTTAACCAGAGACGTAGTGTTAGCTTTTAGAGTTGACCAGGGAAGTAGTGTTTAGCTTTTAGAGTTGACCAGGGGCTAGTGTTAGCTTTTAGAGTAGACCAGGGATGTAGTGTTAGCTTTTAGAGTTGACCAGGGGCTAGTGTTAGCTTTTAGAGTAGACCAGGGAAGTAGTGTTTAGCTTTTAGAGTTGACCAGGGAAGTAGTGTTAGCTTTTAGAGTAGACCAGGGATGTAGTGTAATTGGTAACGAGGTGACTAGAGTTTACAAGAGTAACCTAAAGGTGTTAGTGTTTGCTTTTAAAGGAGACAAAGGGTGTAAACTGAAATATTAGCCTACGAGGCATATCAGAGGCGTAGTTTAAACTACTAAAATAAAATATGAGTGTAGCATTAACTACAAAGTAAATCATGGGCATATTGAAGCTCATATAGTTTTACCAAACGCTAAACAAGCGTTAAAAAGTTATTGATCGTTCATGTTTAAATTTTCGCTTGTTAATTAGAAAACTAATGAAAACAGCAAGCCTTGTAGTGGATACAATAGAAGGCCGATACTGCAAGGATGCTTAGCCTAGAGGTGCAAGTCTAAGGGGCAAGTTGCATTGATGGCCATAATTTGACGCCAGCACCCTGGGGTGTTAGTTGTGTGTGTGTGGAGGGAGGGGGGTGGGGTAAGTAGCACTGACGGCCGTTACCTGACGCCTGGCCTGAGGTGTTACTTGTGAGAGGTAGGGAGGGGGGGGGGTTAAGTAGCACTGACGGCCATAATTTGACGCCAAGTGTTAGTTTGTGTGTGGAGGGGTATGTGTGTGTGGGGGGGGGGGGGCAAGTAGCACTGACAACCGTTACCCGACACTAGCCCTGGATGCATGTGTGAGGTGGGGGAGGGGGGGATTATGTAGAATGGACGGGCGTAATCTGACGCCAGTTTTGAGTTTGATGCCAGCTCAATGGAAGACCGCCGTCTGCTATTGCGGCGCTAGTCGAGTGGACGGCCCTAATGTGGCGCTAGTGGAATGGACGGCCCTAATGTGGCGCTAGTGGAATGGACGGCCCTAATGTGGCGCTAGTGGAATGAACGGCCGTAATGTGGCGATAGTGGAATGGACGGCCCTAATGTGGCGCTAGTGGAATGGACGGCGCTAATGTGGCGCTAGTGGAATGGACGGCCCTAATGTGGCGCTAGTGGAATGGACGGTCCTAATGTGGTGCTACTGTGTGGCAAAGAAGGGAGGTCACTTTGACCTATGGCTGAGTAATTTTATACTTTTTGTTTGAAAGTTATATTTTTATAATTAAAGTATGTTAATTAACAGCACTTTTAAAAATGTTATATTATCCAACTACTTCCGCTTTTGTTGTTTGTTTGTTGTTTTTTTTTTGGTTTTTTTTTGTTTTTTTTTTTTGTTGGTTTTTTTTTTGGGGGGGGGGGGGTCTTTTTTTGCATAACAAAACAAGAGCTTAAGTGAAACGTTCGTTATCCAATAATTAAGCTGTTGTCTCGCAATAATTATGCGTTTGACGTCTGTGTGTTATTGGGTTCACAAGTCGCTTAAGTGATCCTCCAATCCATGCAAATTAGATCAGTTACCGTGTTAAATAACCAATGATCAATACCGTTCAATGGCCCATAGCTGAGAACATGCTTTGATGTACAATCTAAATCACGACAATGGAGCAGTTCGACTAGTTATCAAGTAGGATACTAAAATATAATATGTAAGGTCCTCAACAGCCCCGCCTCAACAGCCCCGCCCCAACAACCCCGCCTCAACAGCCCCGCCTCAACAGCCCCGCCCCAACAGCCCCGCCTCAACAGCCCCGCCCCAATAGCCCCGCCCCACAGCCCCGCCTCAACAGCCCCGCCTCAACAGCCCCGCCTCAACAGCCCCGCCCCAACAGCTCCGCCTCAACAGTCCCGCCCCAACAGCCCCGCCCCAACAGCCCCGCCTCAACAGCCCCGCCTCAACAGCCCCGCCCCACAGCTCCGCCCCACAGCCCCGCCTCAACAGCCCCGCCTCAACAGCCCTGCCTCAACAACCCCGCCCCAACAGCCCCGCCTCAACAGCCCCGCCCCAACTGCCCCGCCCCAATAGCCCCGCCTCAACGGCCACGCCCCAACAGTCCCGCCTCAACAGCCCCGCCTCAACAGCCCCGCCCCAACAGCTCCGCCTCAACAGCCCCGCCCCAACAGCCCCGCCCCAACAGCCCCGCCTCAACAGCCCCGCCCCAACCGCCCCGCCCCACAGCCCCGCCTCAACAGCCCCGCCTCAACAGCCCCGCCTCAACAGCTCCGCCTCAACAGCCCCGCCCCAACAGCCCTCCTCACCAGCCCCGCCTCACCAGCCCCGCCTCACCAGCCCCGCCTCCCACCTCTCCGCAAGAGGGAAACAAAAAGTGCATTAGAAAGCCAGAAAGTCTAATCTCTTCTGTCAACCGGTGAAAATGAGTGGAGGGCGTGAAGGGATTTCAGTTGTTCAAATAAAGGAACAAAGGGAGGATGGCTTGGGAAAATCTCTAAATCCTATCTTTGATGCCCCGTGGGACATGCCAGTCCTTATTTAACGGGATTGTTCTAGAACGCCACGACGAGCATGGGAAGGGGGGAGGGTTAATAGGGGACCCTAAGGGGTATGGCAGATGCGATTCCTATTGTTAATTCTTGCCGTTGGTGTTTGATCAATGTACCACTTCTGGACAGATTCTTTTCAATTAATTTAAATATCAGTATATAGTATATACGCTTGCAGGTTTTGTCACGTACGCATCAATTTTCAACATCTGCATTGAAAAATATATGATTTTTATGAAATGGAAAACTACAGTTTAGAACGGTTGAATTACTGTATCTGTGCCTTACAAAACTTATAAATAACAATTTTTGAATCATTAATAAATAAAAACATTTTTTAAAATAAAACTTTTAAAGAAAATACTGACCAAAACTTCTATATTCAGCTTTGAGAGTGCAGATACTACAGAAGCAGAGAAATATAAAGTTATCGCCCTTGAGAGTAGTCCCTGTGTTAATATTTCCCAAATCAAAAGATATTTTCTTTATTTTCTGTTGTAATTTTTCCCTCGAGATTTATTCCTGTAGCGACACTTCTGTCGTGTGTCGGGCTGTGTCGGTGTGTCAACATGCTGCTACTTCCGTCTAATTAAAGAAAAATAGAAGATCGAATCGGAGCAGTGGAAATAGTTACCTCCCTTCTGTAGTACCGTGTGTTGTTTCCCTTATTTATTCAGACCGGCGTACACCTCTCCCCACCTTCCCTAAACACCCAGCAGGGGTGGCGTAACTTGGCAGGGGTGGCGTAACTTGGCATTTTATTTCTACCCAGCATCGCTGTGTCAAAGGATGGCAAGCACTAGAACATTCCGACTCTAGCAACGTTCCGTAGATAGATGTCGCAATATTCCCTCTACATGGGCCATCGTTCCTCCTCTAAGGGGAACAATGTAGTGGGAAACCTGTATTTTGTGTGCGCGGTGTTTTTAAAGTCTTATATATATATATATATATATATATATATATATATATATATATATATATATATATATATATATATATATATATATATATATATATATATATATATATGTATTGTACAAAATGATCGCGCGGCTTGTTCAAAACTAATGTGCGGCCGCGCAACCGCACAGCTTTGATGTAACATTGATGGCAAGATGTTGGATATTGGTGGGGGGGGGGGGGGGACAATGGGCTACTCTTGGAACTAGGGAGAGGTGGGGTAATTTAGTTTGGTTCCTGTGAACTATGTAGAAGATGCGGGAACTAATACGGAACTAATAAGGGAACTAATACGGAACTAATACGGAACTAATAAGGGAACTAATAGAGAACTACGTGGCAAATGGAGTTGAAAAAGGGAAGTTAGAAGCTGCGATAAGGCCAGGTCAAGTGTGGCTACCCACGACAGTCAAGTGTGGCTACCCACGACAGTCAAGTGTGGCTACCCACGACAGTCAAGTGTGGCTACACACGATAGGTCAAGTGTGGCTACCCACGACAGTCAAGTGTGGCTACCCACGACAGTCAAGTGTGGCTATACACGACAGTCAATTGTGGCTACCCACGACAGTCAAGTGCAGCTACCCAAGCCAGGTCAAGTATGGCTACCCACGACAGTCAAGTGTGGCTACCCACGACAGTCAAGTGTGGCTACCCACTGCAGTAAAGTGTAGCTACCCACGACAGTCAAGTGTGGCTACCCACGACAGTCAAGTGTGGCTACCCACTGCAGTAAAGTGTAGCTACCCACGACAGTCACGTGTAGCTACCCACGACAGTCAAGTGTAGCTACCCACGATAGGTCAAGTGTAGCTACCCACGACAGTCAAGTGTGGCTACCCACGACAGTCAAGTGTGGCTACCCACGACAGTCAAGTGCGACTACCCATGTGTGAACTTAGGGTAACCCAAGTATACAGCGCTACAACTTGTCCAGAATCCATCACAAATGTGTTCCCTATCACAGTCCTAGCAAGTCAGCAGAACTCCTTTTAACTAATTAAAATTGCAAACTTGTGTCAAGTCTGGCTTTAAAAAAAAATGTGGACCAGACTTAGAGACGATGACGTCAGTAGAATCTAGTGCAGCATCAGTTGTGACGTTGTTCACATCTTTACTGACGTCAGTTATACAAAATAACACAGTAGGTAATGATTTATTTTAAAGCTATGAGTTAAAAAGGGAAGATTAAGATTAGGTAAATATTCATGGAGTCGTTCTAATTGCGAGCAGCAATCAATAACAACTAATTAGTTGAATAACATGGATGGTATATTAATCAGCCTAACCAACAAGCATATTTAAATTAAAATCATTACAACAGCCAACATATGAGATCAACTGCAACAGACCAACATATGACATCAATTACAACATTCAACATATGACATCAATTACAACATCCAACATATGACATCAATTACAACTGACCAACATATGACATCAGCTACAGCATACTATCATATGACATCAGCTACAACAGACCAACATATGACATCAACTACAACATCCAACATATGACATCAGCTACAACAGAACAACATATGACATCATCAACAGCAGCCCAGTATATCACATTAACAACAGCGTAAGATCTACAACAGAGAAAAGTATTTATTTCCTCGGACTATTTGGTGTATCGACAAAAAGACAATTTTTTTCAAAGTCCTAAAAATTCACCAGAATCAAGACAACACCGCTGACTGCTTTAAATCAGGTACATTCGTAGAATTTTTTATTAAACGAGTAGATCTATATCTCAACATGCTGTACTTAAAAAAACAAAAATTTCAAGTTTGTCTATATCTTTACTTCCCAGTGTAGTACAAAATCCAACGTTTATCCTTCAAAGAATTTTGTTGGGAAAAAAAAACGAACACATTTTTTTTTTCTTTCCAAAACCTCCGATTCTGCTCTGTAATCATATATGTTACTATTTCCAATAACTGCCCCCCCCACCCCCGGGCTTTTCATCATGTCCGCGGTAAAAAAAAAAAACTGTCCCCCTACCAGCCTAACCCTACAGCAGCCATCAAAGTGATGCCAGACGCCAATCGTCTGATGATATTCAACGGTCTTTTAGATCCAGATCCAACATCATCGATGTTTAGCGAGGAATGAAAAGAAGGAAAAAGTGGAATAGGGAGAGACTCCGATCAAGGCAAGATAGATTGTTGCATTTTTTTCCGGAGAGGGGGGGGACATGCAAGCGAAAAAAATGGCTGTAAGTCTCTGGGATAAAAGGAAGAACTCGTAACCAAGGCGAAGTGTCAATTTTCTTAATATGAATTTAAAACGTCAAAATGGAGTCAGGGTTTGACGGCTGAAAAGGATATCAGTTTAGAGTTCTATCAAGGAAATGGTGGGAAGTCAGAACAAAACGTAAGGGAAAATACTCAGGACTATATTTAAGGGAGACTAGTCTGGACTAGATGTAAGGGAGACTAGTCTGGACTAGATGTAAGGGAGACTAGTCTGGACTAGATGTAAGGGAGACTAGTCTGGACTAGATGTAAGGGAGACTAGTCTGGACTAGATGTAAGGGAGACTAGTCTGGACTAGATGTAAGGGAGACTAGTCTGGACTAAATGTAAGGGAGACTAGTCCGGACTATATTCAAGGATTAGTCAAACAAAATGTTATAGGTACTAGTATGAGTGAAATTTTAGGAAGACTAATCAAGAAATAAAGTGAGGACAATTAAGAAACAAATTTAAGAGAGACTAGTCAGAACAAAATGTTAGACAGGCTACTCAGGACAAAATATAAGGGAGACTAGTCGTACGACAATGTGAAGAAGGTTATTCATACGAAATGTAAGGGAGACTAGTCTTACGAAAATGTCAAAGAGAATAGTCATACAAAACGTATGGGAGATTAGTGATACGAAATGTAATGGAGACTAGTCATTCGAAAATGTGAGAGAGAATAGTCATACGAAATTGTAGGGGAGACTAGTCTAGACAAAATATAAGGGACACTAATTATATGAAAATGTAAGGGAGAACAGTCACACGAAAATTTAAGGGAGACTAGTCAGAACAAAATGTTAGGCAGGCTAGTCAGGACAAAATATAAGGGAGACTAGTCATACGAAAATGTAAGGGAGACTAGTCTTACGAAAATGTAAGGGAGACTAGTCTTACGAAAATGTAAGGGAGACTACTCAGAACAAATAAAAGGGAGACTAGCCTGAAAGGGAAAAAAAAGTAATGTACGCGAAGACTTGATTCGAGTATTCATGAAGCAAGCCGCGGCGGATTAATGACATTAGGATACTGGAGGGAGAAATAAACAGACAAAAGGACTGAAAGAAACCTGTCAATGAGCCGACACTATCATCACAGGGGTACACAGCGCCTCGGCTTTAAATCTTTCAAACACTCCAGCCAGCGGTGGTTTAAGTTTCTTTTTTTCTATTAGTTTTAACGGACGACATTTCTGGACTATTAAATTTAAATTTTTGAGTTTAAAAAAAAATGTTTCGTGCCGTGGGGTAGTTGACGAAGATGAAGTTTAGACCGTGTTGTGGTTCCTACAGTTGTCTGAATCAGATGGTTTCTCTAAGGCGTCCTCTGATTTTTTAAAAAATTTTTTAAAGCGTCTGGGTACGCCCGAACTGGTTCCTGATTCTCCACCACCCCCACACATCTTCCACACGCCACACACACACACACACACACACACACACACACACACACATACACAGAGAGTATCAATGACGTATCTCACACACCCATCAATATAATGCGGTTATTTAAATAACTAAAATTTTAAAATCCTAACCTTAACACTTTTCAATTACAGCCATTGAGAGAAGTCAGGCAGGGAGCCGAAATTAGAAATAGAACACCAGAAACACTAATCACGCGCAAATTGTGTCGTCCATATGGGTCTTTGGTGAGAAT